TATATATATATATATTTTCTTCTGCCTTTCTTCATTAAAGCAATCCCCTTGGATTGAAATCTGGAAATTTGTGAACCTGCTAAACATAAGTCAAGCATTTGCTGCCACATTTATAAATGTGTATATATGATGTAAATAGATTAGTGTGGTTTAAAATAGACTAACCATCTAATACTTTCATTTAAACCCCAGAACCCATTGAAAAAGTTGCAGAATGAATATATTCAGATTGTTCTTTAAGTTTTTGCATTCTTCTTTATAATAGAAGACCTGATCCTCATTTCATTGACATAAATGAGAATTTTGCTATGGATTACAGTGGAATCAGATCCAATGGTAGTGTATTATTATGCAGGTGAAAGATTATTATAGTAGTGCTAATAGGCTGCCCACCTAGAATTCAGAAACAGTTCATGAAAGAGAACTGAAAACATTAGAAATTTGTTCATGTCCATAACATGCATAGAGAGAACATAGATGTTTTAAACTGTGAAAAAGTAATGTGTCTGTTTCCATGGATCTGTTCTTGATAAGAGTCATCTTGAGTAGAGAGAAATATGTCTACTTTAAGGAATACAATATAAAACTAGTTTTTAAAAAAATCGTCACATGCCTGTATATTTATGGTACTTTTACAACTTGTTACATTCACGTTTTGATAGTAAACGCATGATTGTTCTACTGTATTGTGCTTTTATTTTTAACTGGCATCTGTAAACAAATTTCCATTTTAACTTTTTTAAAAAAATAAGTTTTTTGGAACTTACAATAAGTATATTATTTTATTTATGATGCTTAATTGTATTGTTTGTATATCTGTATCTTTTACAAAAATCCAAATCTGTTCTTTATAATTGAATCTATTTTTACATTTGGTTGCACATTATATATCATTTCTTGTCATTTTTTTTGTCTGAATAAAATATTCAGAACAATACAGATTTTTACAGCTCCAGACATGATACAATGTTCCTATGAATAACAGAAAAGCTTCCAGGTATAAGACAGAATGACTTAAGATCTGCCATATACATATAATGCTGGTTAAATTGCTTGGTTGGGACAAAAACTAAAAACACAGAATAAAAACCAAGGAAAGTAATTTTACTGTCCAGGAAAAGCTAGGTTTCATTTTCCAAAATAAACTGTCTTGGTCAGGCCTTTTTACAATGACCTTGTTCTTGCTTAAAGGTTGCTTCTTCTGGGAGGGAGCAAAGCTGATAACATTTCACAGTGTGAATACTACCATCTCCCTACTCTAATTGAAACTCTAATTGAAATGCACAGTTATCCATAGGAGTGCTTTTATTTCTTCCAGTTGTCCCACAGCAGCCAGTGAGACTACTAATGTGAGTATCTGTTTGTAGAATCAGCCCTATAATAAGGTAAATATAGGTTAATTCCATGAAACATTTCTAAACAGACAGTAATGCTTCAGGAGATTCTTTTATACACAGGTTCCTAATATGGCATGACAGATATGGAAATACAGATATGCATATTTTAATTTTTCTATTTGGTTATTATCTAGGATGAAATTCCAATTTTATTTCATAAGCGTTGCCAATATTTGGTTTCACGCACAGTAGGCACATCTATTTGTGCATTTACTTCACATTAAACTTACTGCATAGTAAGTTACTGGACAGTAAACAAGAATAGGGCTAGCATCTACATGTGCAGGCAACCGGGGACTAGATTTACTCCCAAGTCAGATCAGCCTGCCATGTGCTCCTGTGGCCACCAATAGGAGCTCCTGCCTCTGGTCACATGGCTACCAACACTTGGCAGCCATGCTGAGGCCAGAGACGGTTGCCAGCAATTGGCAGCCATCTTAAAAGCACACCCCAACTCTCTGATCCCTAGCCAGCTCCTCCCCTGCCCGGGAGCTGCATACCCAGTACAGGAGCAGCACACAGCAACTCTCTCCCTGACCACCCTGTCCCCCTCTACCATGGCTGCTCCAGCCTCTGCCCTTGCCAGCAGTGCCCAATGCCCTGCTGCTCCAGCCAGCAATGACCAGTACCCTGCACTGCTGCTGGCCATGGTGCTGACCCCACCAGGACCCACCCTGCCCAGGTCCCAGGACAACCATGCACCTGTCAGCTGTGCCCAGGGCACCAGCTCTGGCTGACCCCCCTCCTGCTGCACTCCCTGTTCCAGACCTGTCCTGCTGCCCAGACACCACGGACCCCATGCCCACCCCCAGCACCACTCCAGGGCACACATGTAGAAGAAACCATACAAACATTATTAATAGAACAACCCCCAACCTCTCCCCACTCAATGAACACAGCTTCCTCCCCCCTCTCCCCACCCACGGTGCCCCTTCACCATCCTCCCTGCCCACCAACAATAAAAACCCTATTCCACAACCTACAGACACTTCACATGTCTGATCCCATCTCTAAGTCCATCTATGAGGGACTGAAGGGTGGGGCTGCCCAGGTTGGAGAGCCTGGGGGAAGGCAGCCAGCACCCCAGCTGCAAACAGTTCCCCTAGGTTCCAGGGGCTGCGGCAAAGGCCAGAGATGCCTGCAGCCACCAAATGCTGCAGGACCTGCTCCAGGGTGCTGCTGGGGGCCTGCTGAGGGGTGGTGGGCAGGACCTGTGGGGCTGGGGCAGGGGGGAGTATGGGCACACTTTCTGCTGGATAACTGTGGGCAGCCAGCTGCTGCTCCAGAAGCTCCACACACTGCCACTCCAGGGCAGCCAGCTCCACCAAGTAGGCATGGCATGCCCACAGCTGCACCTCCTCCCAGGCAGCCTACCAGGTGAGGTCCTGTGCCTGCCACACCCTCTGGTCTACCACACAGAGCGGTCCCACCCACTGTGACCACCAGCCTGTGGTCCCATCCTGGAGGTCCTATCCTGGCTGTGCTGCTAGTGCAACCAGCACCTCCAGGAAGCTCCAGCAGTGGATAGCAGTAAGCCTCCAGAGGCAGTCCTGCGGACCCCTGCGGCATCTCCCAGATGTTGCCCTACAGAGGCAAGAGACAGAAGGCTTTTATTAGAGTATGCAACATTTGAGAGATAAGATGATCTGCTCCAGAGGCCGTATGGTGCCTGGCCTCAGGTTGGAAGTCAGCTACATGCAGGTGCCCAGGGACTATGGTAAGCTAGCCAGGCAGGCCTGGGCCCAAATGAGTGCCATGCAAGCCCCCTATCCCTGCTTACTCCCTGGGGGCTGGCCACAGGCCACCTGCCTCTCCTTCCCCCTTCCCAGGGTGGGCCAAGCCAGGCTGCTGGCAGCACCTGCTGCCACAGCTCCAGGCCCTACTGATTCCCACCTCTACCGTGGCTGCTGCTGATCCTGCTGATACCTAAGGCATATCTGTGGTCCTGGATCAGGACCCTGAGCTATGATGGCAAGGGGGGCAAGCCCAGCTTGCCCTGCAACATCCGCTACTGCCTGAAGGGCTATCGGTCACAGCACTATATGTTTCTGCCCCCTGTTGCCAAGAAGGAGATCACTGTCGGGATTGACACCTTCCTGGGTACATGAGATGCCTCTGTCCACCCATCTGTGGGAACATGAACTCAGTAAATGTCTGACCTGTGTCCCATCTTTTTGTATGCTGGGAGGGGGCAGGGACCTGGTGTCAATGGAGTGCAGGTGGGCCAGATGAGGAGGGGGCCAGGGCTGGAACCAGGGGCAAGGGCAAGGATGGGAACTGGAGCTGGGAGCCCCCTCCCCCCCCCCAGTGTGGGACCTACCATCCATCTGGGGGCAGCAAAACTGGTGGCTCAGTGCAGGACTCCCCATGCCAGGTGGTGTCTGGCTCCACCCAGTGTCCATGGCTTCCAGTGGACTGGGGGCCAGTGACTGGCCTTGGGATCCCCCAGGGAGGAGCTGGTGCTTCTTGCAGCTGGAGGTGGCATAGCCAGCTGCTCCTCATGGGCAGCTGCAGGATGGGGCCAAGGCTGAGGCAGCCACTGGCCGGGGCTCCCTGGCTACCAGTGGGCACAGCAGCTGGGGAGGAATGCAGGGCAGGGTGCTGAAGGCCCGAGGTCCCCTTCTCTGGTGGTGTGGGGTGTGGGTGCAGGGTCCTGGGGTACCAGAATGTGGGTCAGCTCCCTCATGAAGGGCATGATCCTGGGGGGTCCCCATGGTCACGGCCACCCACTGGACCTGTAGGACCTTGCCCAGAATCCAGCACTGCAACACCAACCAGGACAGAGATGGGGCTGGACACAGGGGAGGAGGACATCATGCCCCATGCCAGCTGACTGGACCCCTGCATGGCTGGCCCTGTGATGCTGGCCTTGGAGGGCTGGGAGCAGCACCCCTGACAGAAGCATGGAGAGGGAGTCACAGCTGAGCAGCTGATGTGTTTTACCATGGTCTTGAAAAGAAAGGGAAGTGGGAGGTCAGCAGCAGTGGGGAGCAGGTGCTGGCCCTGGTGGCACAGCCAGCAGGGCCACCAGCCCTAGTGAGATCACAGGGCTGGGAAAGGGGTGCAGCAAACTGCAGCCCTTTGCAGCACTCGCTTGTGGCCAGGCAGCAACTTTGGAGCAAGACAGACCCAGCAAACACAGCCTGCGGGCTGTGGGGGGGGGGGGGG